GTGAAGATCAGCATGTTCCTTTTAACAGCCTTACGCTGTTAAAGATGTTACTTTGAAGAGAATAAAAATAGATGAGAAGGACAAAACACAAACTTAATAAACAAGCAAACCAGGGGTGGGTTGCTGCTGGTTTTACTATAGGTTCACAACCCGTGTGTGTGCACAGTTCTATGTAAATTGTTCTTCGCGCATGCGCAGAACAATTTACAGTAAACTACACACATGCAGTCACTAAGAACCAAAATGATGGCGGCCCAGCAGCGGCGAGGAAATTGGTTCGGGGTGTGGTAGGCCTGAGTCGCTGCTGGTTCTGCGACCCAGCACTGAATTCCACTACCGGTTTGTCTGAACTGGGCTGAACCAAGAGCAATCCACCTCTGAAGCAAACTCTGCTAAGGTCTTATTTGCAAGATTTTGTTGCATTTCATGGGAAGCATCAGGGAAACTTATTAAAATCAAGAGGAAACTATTGCTCATCCAAGTGGAATTCCCAGTTATCTACAGACTGATCAACATATTCCTCCAGACAAAAAACCCGAACTAAATCCATATTAACATACCATTAATAATGGCCATGTTGATTGTCTTTCTTAATTTGAATTTTCTAAAAATGTTTTATTGGATAGATCTGGGGCCAAATTTTCCAGTCTCCCTCATTGGCCCATCTTCAAAGTTTTAAGCCACATCTTTTAGTTTTCCCTTTGGCCACCTGCTTATTGATTCACTCAGAGTTCACAGAGTTGACTCTGCTCTTACTTGCAATTATCCAAATCATAGTGATTTCTTTTTGTCTTTATGTTAGTACACTAGAGAGGTTCCTGCAGGTGCCTCAGAAGAGATTCAGTCAGAAGCAGACATTATGTGGCTGGTGCTTCTACTTCTATTGCTTTTGTGGCCACAGACAGATGGTGGGATGCTCAAAGCCAAATGCTTCCTGACTCTGGAGCAGGGTAAAGTGAACCCAAAGAATCATTATAAGCCAGGAGATTATGTCATTGGTGGCATAATCTCTACAACAAAAGCTACATTTCATTCATTAATGTTTAATAGAAGCCCTTCAGCAGAATTCTCCTCGTAAGTCAATTTTTCTGCACTGCTTGAGAGCCGCTCCATTTCCTATGAATGTCTACAGTGCCCGTCCTTCAAAAACACAAACTGCTAGATCTTTTGTAACTTATTTTTTTTATTCTATATTCAGGTTTCTGTTGTAAATTGCAAGTGACAAAGCTCACTTTGAGCTGTCAAATATAGACCCAATCAAAGATTTACCCACTGTCCTTTCCATTCTATGACCAGATCTAGAATATAGACACAGAGGAACAGACTGACCTGGAGTTTAATTGACCTGGACTATGGGGGACCACTGGTCCAAGCACAGAAGGTTGCTGTATTTTCTTTTTGCATCAGATATGAGATGACACCACTATTTTTTCCCATACCAATGTTTCTTTCTGGGATCAGAGAATCCCAGTTAAAAACATAAGCATTCTGGGAGTTTGCAACTGTCTTTAATTTTCATACACAAATTCATGCCCTAAATGTTTTTAAATGAAATTATTATCTCTATTATATTGCTTGCTTGCTTGTTTGCTTCCTTGCTTGTTTGCTTCCTTCCTTCCTTCCTTCCTTCCTTCCTTCCTTCCTTCCTTCCTTTCATAGGTTGTTTGACTCTTGGTGGCTTATAATTAAAGTAAAAAAATATAGGTAAGAAAAGAATCATGAATCATTTTCATGCCCATAAAAAACCAGAAGCACCAACCAAAATTCATGCAATTGGGGTTCTCAGAGTTAGGGAAAATAACCTGGTCATCTATGTGGGAGCCTTTCCAGTGAAATTCATGGACCAATTCAAATAATATATGTAATATCTAGAAAATACAAGAGCTAGTAATAAATACTTTATAAGCTGTCTGGGTATATCATCCATCCTTATTAAGATTAAGGAAACTACCGTCAAATATGCAATAAAACCTTGAAAACCAATGAATTTGAAGTGGTAGCAGGGGAACCAACTGGGAGAGTGCCTTTGAAATAATGTATGATACATTTTTATTGTTTTTATTCTTTTTCTATGGTAATAGTTTGGAATGTTGCTAAAGGAATGGAAGAATAATTGTGATTGAATAGGTTAAAGGTATTGTGGAACAATAGTGAAATGTTATTTTTATCAGTATGTTAATACCTGCAGATATGGAAGCCAACGTTTTTGGAAATTTCTGCCCTTCCTTTTTGCAACTGAGGACATCAACCAGAACAGGCATCTCTTACCCAACATCACCCTGGGTTATAATATCTATGAAAACTTCTACAAGGCAGAAATGACTTCAGATCCTTTGCTGGATCTCCTTTCAGATGGGGAGGCCGATGTCCCCAACTACAGGTGTGGAAGGCAGAGAAACACAGTGGCTGTTCTGGAAGAGGCTGAAACTGGCATCTCTGTCCAGATTTCAACCATGTTGAGCATCTACAAAATTCCTCAGGTGTGTCTTTCTTTGGGAGACAAATTCAGCCATACAACTTTCAATCAGAGCTCCTCTGCTGTAAATTAAAAGCAGGGTTTGATCATGGAAATAACAACAATCATATGTTGTTTTTTAAATGTAAAATTCCACCACCTTCCATCCCTTTCAGATCAGTTACAGTTTTGTTTCTAAGATTCTGATGGATAAAATTCAGTTTCCTTTCTTCTACCCATTGTTCCCTGTTGAAGGAGTCCAGTATCCAGGAATGGTCAAGCTGCTCCTCCATTTCAGATGGACCTTGGTTGGTCTGGTTGCTCCTGACAGTGACCAAGGGGAGAGGTTCATGACGTTGTCTTCTTTAATGTCAGGGAATGGCATTTATGCAATTCAAATATCCGAGTTTTTCACTAAATTCAGATTGCAAGGTTTCAAAATTCAAAGTGTATTACAAGTGGAGAAAAATAAATGTATGTGTTTGTGGTTGAGAGACTGGTTTGTTCCAGATAGGAAGATTTATTATGGAAATGAGAGGAAATGCATTTTACTTGCTTCATTTAAAGTTCTGCCATTTTCCATTCTTTTTCAGATCAGTTACAGTTTTACTTCCCAGATTCTGAGGGATAAAACTCCGTTTCCTTTCTTCTACCCAATGCTCCCTGCTGAAGGAGTCCAGTATCCAGGAATGGCCAAGCTGCTCCTCCATTTCAGATGGACCTTGGTTGGTCTGGTTGCTCCTGACAG